TGCTAAAGCAGTCCTATATACAAAAATTCAATGTTCCGAGGCTACTCATTTTTGAGTTATGCGAGTTAAAGGTATACGTATGTAAGTACATAAAGACATCATGAAAAAATATCTTCTAAATCCATTTTTAATGCATTTTGGAATCTGTTTTGGAAAAAAGTCCTTTATTCTGTCCATACATACAGATGTCGCTCAAAAACATCATTCAAATGGATTGAAGAGTGGTCAAAATGGATATTTTCGTTGAAACATGATACCCAAAATGTTCCACAATTACACTACTTCCTTTATACAAGGAAGTAAAAAGGAGTCATTATCAGGGGTGCTTGTGGGGACCCCAAAAATTTCCCTGAAACTTTTACGGGCTTACTACCGACATTTTGGAGTTTCGAGAAGGGGGGGGGAGAGAAATGAAAAATTACAATTATGAAGTATTGAATGACCTAATTATAAAAGTTCAATGAATTACTTTTTTTGCAAAATTAATAACCATAAATTTTCAAACATATAAACTACTACATTTTATGTAAATATTTTAAATTACCTGAATTAATTATTTTAAAAAAATTATCTAATTTCTGCTGCTTTTTTTTTTTTTTTTTTTTATTTTCTGATGTTTGTGGGCTTGTCTTTCTTTTGTGGTGAACTTCATAATTGCAGGAAGGTTGACTTTTATTTTCCTCATTTACAGTTGAAGAAATTTCCTCGAGAACTGCACATGCAGAGGTAGAAGCAGTTTGCTTTTCTGCTAATACAGAAGGTTTTTCAGAGACTTTTATAGGTGACTCATCTGAAATACATGTTTTAAGTTCTCTTGATATGTTTTCCAACTTCTGTTCATATTCAGTAAGAGATCTTTGTGAATTGGATCAGTCATTGGATTTTTTTAGCCATATTTTTCACATGAGGTTTCTTTAGAAGCCATTAAATCATATTTAATAGTCTGCACTGCATCTAGGGAATCAATCTTAAGAGAGGTTCTATAGTCAGTGACAAGTGTATCCATTAAGTTGAATGCACTTTCCACTAATGGGCCATGGAAGCAGCTAAGGCAGGCTTTGACCAATTTAGCCAATGTAGGATACTTATAATCATTTGTGAAATCATCTTTTAAATTAAAATCTTTACACCAATATTTATCAATTGTACAGTTGACTTGATTTCCACTTTCATCAGATGTGTAGAGCATTTCTTTGGTGATATCAATATCACTCTGGTATAACCTTATTTCAGCTTCTACTTTTGACTTTTCATTATCACTAAAAATATGGGACATAAAAGATGATAATTTTTCAAAAGCTAATATTGTACTGGTTTTACCTCTTAGCTCTGGATCTAATGCTGTAAAACTAATTAGATATGAATTTTAAGGGGTAATTTCTGTTTCATATGCTGTGCTGTATTAGTATAAGCTTTCATCAGAGAAATTTGGAATTCTTTTGCTATTGGATGATTTTTTGATTTCTTCAGGAGAGTGGAAGCTTCTGCACCAGTAAATATTACTTTGCTAGGTAGATGGAATTCTGGATTTGTGACATCAACCTTTAATAAATCATTATAAGATGTGCACTCTATATTTTCTGGCTTCATAAAAAAAGAGAAAAATTTTGCCATCAATTTATAAATACTGGAATGTAATAAATGAAGCATTGCTTTTTTTGTTTCAAATAATTTAATATATGTGTTGAACTCTGGTAATACTGCTGAATATAATGCCATATGCAATAAAGTTTTGTTTTGCATAACAAATAACCCATTTAGTACTCTTTTTTTCCGAGCTAAAGCATCCTTTGTGAGTTGTTGGGAATGCAAGCAAGAATACACCCCTTCAACAATTTTTTCTGAGCTGCAGAAATATTTCTTTTATTGTATACAGTTTCAACATAAGAAAAATAATCCCCTTTATCAGTTTTATCCAAGTAGTGAAAATAAAATGCAATAAGAGCATCCCACAGATCTTTGATTCTTTCTAAAACACATAAAATGTACACCCACCTATGGTCTGGTTTCTTCAAGGGCTTAAGTTTTTTAATGGCAAGGGATTCACAGATTTTGAAAAAGTTTTCACTTTTACTGCAGCTTTTCATATCAAAATAGATGTCATCAAACAAATCTTCTAAGTATCTATCAAAACATGAAGCAAATTTTTTTGCACAGTTATTAGCTGTGTGACATGTGTCACCATCAATATCTAATAATTGGGGTGCTTTGTTTGATCGTAGTCTGGTTTCAACACTCTTTTTTTTTTCACGCATGGTGTTACATGAGTCTATTAATACACTAATTAAGTTGGCCCATGGAATATTATTATCTTCAATAGTACTAACAACTGCTTTAAAAACAGCTTCTGAATTGCAAGATTCCATCTTTAGAGATGCAAAATGATGAACTACAACTTCATTTTGATTGTTGTCATAATAATATTGCCAGTATACTTTCTTGCACCAATATTGCCAGTATACTTTCTTGAGCATTACTAGTACTTTCATCCAAATTTAGAGAAAATGGAGTCTCCTTTAAAGTTTTAATGATATTTTCCTTAATAGTTTTTGCGAGCCCATATTTCATCTTATAACATGCAGTAGTCCTGGACATTTCCAATGAGTTTAGAGCCATCTGATCGCGGCTCAACTGTTTGCAGAGTTCAATTAAATTGGGAGCTACATTGAAAGAAAGAGAATTCTTGGTGATAAACGAAGTTATTAATACCTCTTGGCGTGCTTTTCTTGTCACTATATCCAATGGCCGAGCATCAGTTTCCAGTAAGTCATCAGTATTTTTTGAATTAGCATAATTACTTTAAGTCATTGAATGTCTAACGCACTTTGAATATTTTATGTGCGTCACAGTTTTAGAATGATTTGTGAAAGCCTTGAATCCTTCCCCACCATACTTCAGCAGTGAGTTACAAAAAACACAATATGCTTGTCCAGCAACATTTATTTTCTTGCAACATGTGCCTATGGTATCCCCATTACCATCTCTCCGTTCAATCCAATTCCACCTAAATGCATTCCGGACACCTTCTTCTAATTGTATAATATTACTATTTATATCGAGAAATTTCATAGTGAAATTCTCTTGCGTACATAAATAAAAAAATATTTCAATAAACGAAACGAAAAATTTACACGTGCATCAATAAATGAAATTAAAACTTTACACAGCGGAGAAAAAAAGTTGAGAAGCGATCAATGACAAATAGCTAATACGGCGAAAAATCCCCCTTCTCTACTTATTGGCGCCACGCCAGGAAAGATAAGACCTTTGAACCCAGAGTCACGTGATTGCACATCTGGTCAAACAAAGTCTCTCCCTTTTGTTTTCTGCCGCGCCTGCTTGCCGAAAAGAATCCAGAAGAGAATGTCCGAGAACCGGGGGAATGAGTCATAACTAGCAATAAGGAAAGAACAAAAAAGAAGTTTTTCCCCCCTTTTCACACGTTATCACTGCCTTTGGAGAAAGAAAGGAAAAGTTTTCACCACACACACTGACCTTGCGTTTTCTGCTTTCAAAGCAAACAAAATTACCCAGATCAAAATAAATAATTCATTATTATTCCTACTTCCTTTTGAACGACGATCCTCGGGATTCCGGGGTTTTCCCGGAGCACAAACACCCCTGCATTATCTACAATCTCAAGTCCTTGCAAGCATCCGTTCTGCATACCTTTTGCTCAGCCATTAAAAATATGACACAAACTTTTCTCTTTTTCAAATCCTGCTTCAGAATTACATGAATTGTATCCTTACTTATGTTCAGCTGATCTGCAATCGTCCTACATACTATATGATATCTTGCAGCCACTAAACTCTGAACTTTTTCAACCATTTCCTGCAATTGAACAAAATGATCAGCTGACACCTGGGTCATATATATTTTAACTTGGTTACAAAACTGCAAATACCAGCCAAAAATGTGTGTGCAGAATGTGTCTTTTTTCCAGCATTTGATTTGTTTCAGTCATAATTTTTCTGAAAGTAAAACAGGACATTGCACACACCTTTTTTTCTCCATTTCTATGAACATGCTCAAGTGAGTGTCACTATAGTATGCTTGCCAGAACATGAACTTAAGCATAGATGTGTGCAATTTGTTATTTATTAGCGAAATAACTACAGATTCCCATGCAGATTATGCCATTTGTTGATGCTTTTCCATTGCTCTGAAGCACACCCGGCTTTGTACTTTTTATGCACTTTGAAAAATAAAACCTTCTTTAGAATGATGGAAAGGGGGAAAAATTGATTAAGAGTGTGAATAGCTAGTTTTCAGGTTTACTGATTCAATTTTAGTTAATCATACTTTTTAGCATATCGGATTTTATGTAACTAGAGTTATCCTGCACTCAAAACATTAATTAAAAAAAATTTTGACATATAACATACAATACTGCATGTATATGCAATATTCAAAATTCAAGATGCTTTAAACTGCTCTTCTTTGAGGTTGGCACTGACTTAATAACATTGCAATAGCACTGCAATTCTTAAGTTAGGATTGACATGCTATAATATTTAAATAACAAAATCCAACAAAAATGAAGCACTTAGTAAAACATTACAAGTTGTATTGAGTATATATAAAAACTACCATTTTACATGCATGATGTTAATAATTGATGTTCATTTGCAAATTTATGCAAGTACATTCAGGAACTTTTTTTTTATAATCCAGCAATTGACAGCAACCACAACCATAAAGTAATAGCTCTTCATTTTATGGCTGTCATGTTTCATAGTTGCCTAAGTGTAATACCTTCCTGTCGTTCAATGCAGAAAAGCTGTCTGAAAAGCATTTACAGAGTCTGCACAAAGAACCTTGTGATGATTTTCTATGGGCTTGATTTAGAATTGATGGCAATGCTCTTATGAATTATAAGAAAAGCATAAACACATATAAAGTTTACCTCAGATAATATGGAGTCCTGTTATTTGTTAGAACTTTAAGATGGTAACAAAAGTCTAAGATAATAGCAACAGGTAAGTAATTTGCCTTACATCAGCTTCAGATCTCTTCAGAATTTCTTCACATTTCTGTGCATCACCATTTGCAGCAGCTTTGACCAGTTCTTCATTAACGTCTCCCGAAACATGTGTCTCAAATAATTTCTTTAGAAGAGCACTAAGTCTCTCTGTTGGGAAGGAAAAGAAAAGTTCTTTAGAAAAGCAATAAATCTGCAATAGAAAACTTATGTTATTATATGAAATTTAATAATTTTATAAAGCATATGCCATATCTATCTAGGAATTTAAAACAAAAGGGTGGTTTTGTTTAAATCTTAACAGAAAATATTCTGTCATGGATAGCTATTAATTTGTCATGCTCAATCAAAAATGTTATGCTTTGGCTTTCTTAAAAATTTGATCATTGCAATAAGATTACTGTATACCAGGGATGTCAAACTCATAGGTACACTTGGGCCAAACAAACAAGGTTTAACTTTAGGCGGGCCGCAAAAAAAAAAAAAATAAATAAATAAATAAATAAATTAATATTCATAGAACATAGATTTATTTCGAATAATACAATAATAAACATATATATATATATATTTATATAGAAAAGAACAAGAAAAATTTAATGTTTACGTCCTGATACTTGACATCTCTTCTCTGCTATTATCTTTCCTATTTTGGGAGAAATTTTGCTTGCAGTGATAACAGGGTTCGTACACATTTCCTTACATGAAAATTAAGAACTTTTAAGGACTTTTAAGGACAATCAAAGAAAAAATTAAGGACTTATCAGAAAAAAAAAAAAAAAAAACCCCGAATAGGATAAAGCAATTATCCATTTAAGAAACTAACAGAAGCATGTATTATGCACTATTATTAAATTCAATTTAATACTTAACATAAAACAATTTTGAAAATTAAACTAACTCCCTACAAGTTATGAAGTAGATAACATTAAATTAAGAACAAAATTTCTTGAAAAACATGTATAAGTGTATTTCACACTAATAACAGCCACAGATATTTTAGAGATTTACATGATTATTATTTAACTTATTTGATATTTATTTAAACACAATCAACTGCAATGTAAGAATATTTTGCAGATTAAAATAACAGATTTGTAAACATACAATTTATTTCTTTGGTTTTTTGAAAGATACTAGAATAATAAACTATGCAATAAAAGATACAAAACATTTATGCTTTTTTAAAATCTGAAATTTTTTCAGATATTTTAACATCTAATTTATTTATGTCTATTTCCTTTTCTTTAACTATTCTTCTAAGTTCATTTGCTTTGATAAACAAATCAATGTTCCAGCTGGTCTCGGCTTCATCTGCTAAAAGTATCTATCGCAGCTGCTGCTGATCTCATTTCTTCATTAATTTCGATATTAAGAATACCTCCAAAAATTTTATGTAATCAAATACTGTGTATTGAGAAATGTATGATGAGTCACTTAAATTTTCAATTTCAACTGCTTTATTTACAGAGAAGCCCCTTTCCACAGAGGGCTGTCCATGTGACAAGATAAGAATCATTTTCACTATTTTCCATACTTTAGAATAGTGAAAATCATGAAAATAAGAAGTGAGAAATGTGTCAAGAGAAAGATTTTGAGAATCAAAAGTAGAAAATTCATGTAAATTTGCCTTACCTACTTTGTCTAGAATTCTCTCCAAACTGCAGCAGAATTTCATCACAATTATCTTGTAAAACACGTTTATTCCGCATTAATACGATTAGAATTATTTTCATTTTGTTCTGGGTTATTTCTGGACTTTAAGCCATCAACTGTGGGTCTATACAAGATGCATTTCGAATAAGAGAATACTTTATTGGACATTTAGCCATTAAGTGTTGTACCATTGTTAAGACACATTGTTGACCTTCTTGTTTCAATGCAAAACTTGCAGCTTAAATGTCCTTCTTGCGGCATTTATCATTCATTAACTGCTCAGCAATGAATCCCAAATAAACTTTACTTTTATCATTATAACAATTTGGATCATTAAAATTAAATTTATAAAGATTTTTTGCTTTAGTTATTTTTGAATATTCTAGTTTCAAAATTTTAAAGTGCTAAAAGCAATCATTTACAAGTTTTAAGATATCTTCAGCAAAAAAGGGAATAAGTGGTTTATCGCTTTGATAATATTCAAAGAAAGGCAATAATATTTTCGACACAGAGAGAAAAAAATTTAATTTTATAAGAAATGTTTTATCCTTAGTTGCCTTCAAAATATTTGAGAAGGATTTCAATGATTTTTTTTTTTTTTTAAACTGCCCCATTTCAACTTTTTTAACATATAGTAACAAGTCATCCCATAATTTAATGGCTCTTTCAACTGCTGGGACAATTTGCAACCATCGGTAAAGGCAGAACTTCACAGCAGAAAATTTTAATTAAAACATTATTTCTTTATCTATCAGATGATGGAGCAAAGATAAAAATTCTGCAATAATTGGTTTTATTGTTAAACAAAAATGTATGAATTTTTCTTATGCATTATATTTTAACACTTAAAAAAATGTACTATATCGATAAAAAATTGCGACATCGCAAAATATTCTAGGCAAGCATTAATGCAGAGATTCCATTACATCGCTAAAATTGCCAGAAGAATGCTATATTGGCAATACCATGAACACGTTTTCTCTGTGTAGCAACCATTCCGCTTATCGGTCATGTTCTTTTAATTTATTAATCTTCCGTTTCTTTTATTTTTTCCTTATCATTTCAACACTGACTTTTTATCCAGGATTTAGCTTTTATTTTAATTTCTAGTTATAAACAGGTGAAATTAGCTTAATAACAAAAGATAATTTCAACCATTATCACAATGAAATTTTATATCAACCAACTATTTGGATAACTGATGCGATATTAAAATTCAATAACATTCTTCTGAAAGCAGTATTCCTTTTATAAAAATACTTAATAAAATTCTAGCATACGGTGCAGCCTTGGCGCAATTTTGAAAATTATCGCCAACACCAAAATGACCCGTTTAACTACTCATCGTATATGTCCCGTTTACTGCTCATCATAAAGTCGCCAAAAGTAGCAAAATCCCTTATGCAACGGATACCTTGTGCATAGGATTAATGTCTATTGAAGCTTCAAAATGTATTTCCGAACTTTTTTTCGGCTAGCGTTACCGAATTTGCCCTTGGCGACCTAAAATCGAAATGGAGCCAACAGATTTCCCGCGAAATCGATAACAGACCCTCTGCAGAAATAAACTCATAATCCCGATATCCCATACATATAGTATGTGCAAAAGAGAATAAACTCCGTAGAAGGTGATAAAAATTAATTTATGGCTTAATTGAAACAAACACAGAAATTAAGCTAAGCAAAACCATGTAAAAACAAATTGAAATGATAAAACGAAACTTAATTTTCATGTGAATTTTCAGCGCTGACTCTCCCATTCTAGAAATTTCAATTTGTTTCAGACAAAGACCACATTTAGTTTTACAAGGATTGTCATCCATCAATATCCAGTCTTTGTAGTCAGCTTGATGAAGCCACAGTTTATTGAAAATGCACTTTCCAGGCATCTCGTTCCTATTGGCGTCGGAAGGGTTGTGGCCTTCCAGGTTGGGATTGCTCTAATTTTGGCAAATATTTTCAGAATCCCCCCCCTTTTTTTTTTTTCTCGAGCACCTTCATCATCACTTTCGCCTCTTAAAGAACTTCCGGCTTCACGCTTTCGTCACAATCTGCCTAAATTTATGGATAACACCTGTTTCGAAAGATTGGGTGAATAGCCAATCAGACACCCGATACTTTCGTTCTAGGGTAGCTAATTGTTTTTTTTTATCGTTTGCAACGCAAATCCGCCAACAGATTGGTTAAGAGCCGTGTAATTTTAATTCCATATTCATGAGAAATCGCATTTCACACTTATAATGGCAATTATTAGAAATGATAAGAGATGTCAAATGAGCAAAATTAAGGACCGTTTATTCATTTTGGCCAAAATTAAGGACTTTTAAGGACCAAAAATTATTTTTGAAAAATTTAAGGACTTTTAAGGACCGTACGAACCCTGGATAACTTTCAACGCTGACCCAAGGTGAGCATCATTAATACGGTTTCTAATAGGAGACTTATTACCTTTCATGACTGAAAATAACTGCTCGCACCGATAAGTGCTACCAAACATGGAAATAATTTCATATGCGAATTTTCGAGTATTTTCAAACCTGGCTGGTAAATATTTGTAAAATTCAGGCACGCCCACTTCAATGAATTTTGCTTTCAAATTTGAGTTGCATTGAATCTCGATCACCTCCATTTGCATATGGCTGGGTACTGAGTCAATACTTATTGAGAAAAATCGAAGAAAACAAAACAAAACAAACAAAAAAAAAAAAAAAAAATTGTCTTCGAGGGAACTAAAATCATTAAACCTCGTTTCAAATTCAGTTGTTAAATTTGCAATTTTTTCTGCGTATTTTTGATACGAACAAGTATCATCTAAACTTGATTTGTTCATGCTGCACGTCGGGAAGTGCGTCAAATCTTCATTTTTAAGTTGTTTTTCCCAAAGAACTAGTTGACATTTGAATGCTTTAATTATGTCAAACATGTTCGTAATGATATGATCTTTTCCTTGTAACGATAAATTTAAATCGGTTAAGTGTTTGGTTATATCAACCAAGAAAGATAAATCTTGTATCCATAATTGGATCGTAAAACAAACTTACGTCTTGATTTTTCGTTTTTAAAAACTGACATATTTCTTCTTTCAAATCCCAGAATTGTTTGAGAATCTTGGAGCAAGATAACCAACGTACCTCGGTATAGTAGGACAAACCCGAATATTCACTATCTAACTCACTTAAGAAAGCAGTGAATTGACGCTGATTTAAACCTCGAGATCTTATAAAATTTATAACTTTTTTTTATATATGACAAAACATTCTCCATATTTATTACTTTCGTGCATAGAACTTCTTGATGTATATAATACAATGCATATGATGAATGTTTGAACCGTGAATTTCACTAAGTTTTTTTCTTAGTAATGCTACGAAGCCCTTGTTTTTT